AACCTAGACTTTCTCTAAGTCAATCCTAAATCTCCCCTTGTATATTTAACCCCTCCTCTCTCTTCTCCTTCCAAAAAACTAACAATCCAAGCTTCATTGGTTTCTCTCTGTCTCTCTTCAAATGGGAAATGCAGTGTCTCCATGTTTCCATCAAAGTTCAAGAGCTTCATTTGTGAAGCTAATCTTCTGGGAAGGAACCACAAGAATCTTAACAGGCAGCAGCAAACACATAGCTGGAGAGATCATGTTTGAGAATCCAGACATGATGATTTGCCATGCAGATTCTTTCTTCATTGGTCATCCTGTTCCATCCCTGGCCATTGATGACGAGCTCATGCCAGGCCAGACCTACTTTGTTCTTCCATTAGATCGCTTCGCATTCAATGTTTTGTCAGCCTCTTCTCTTGCAGCCTTCAGCGCTAGCCCTAAACGAACCCCTATTAATTTCGGGGAGTCTCCTTTCCAGTACATAAAGGGTGCGGACGGTAGGGTTTTGATTAAGGTTGTGCCGGAATTTATAGCAAGACTTGTAAATAAAGGTGGAGATCAAGATCAAACAGGTTCTAGTGGCCCTACTAATAGTTTTCTTTGTAGCACTCCAGAGTTGAAGAAGCATTATGAACAGCTGGTTGGGTCAAAAGAACAAACATGGTCACCTAAACTCGATACCATCTCAGAGTACAAAATAAGGTACTCTCCCTGCAGGTTCATAGGGTTGGAGTGGAAACAAAAAGAGAAGGCATAATTAATTTGTGTTCTTAGATCAGTTCCATGTAGCTAGAGTATGAAATTACTTAGAAGAAAGAGATGGATAAAAAATACATTAGTGATTGCCACGTCTAATACGAAACTAAAAAAATTATGTAGTTTTCTCCTAGTCATTTGATTATCAATTGTATATAAAATTATGTGATCAGATATAGTTGTATTTATAGCAAGTACTTTTTGCCTCTTCAATATTGTGCTTGATTGTGACCTCATAATTTTCCAAGGAAAAAGCTTTTTACGCTCTCATTATGCCTGCATAGTATACATATCACGCTGGTTATTGGTTAAAAATATTAGATTAGTGTGTGAAGTCTTATTGATCGGCTTATTTATGAAAATTCATTCCATGGTTAATTAACACCTAGCTAGCAGTTGAAATTAAGGGAGAAAGAGTATTGGAAAATATTATGAAGGCTATATTGTATTATGTATAGGAAAATATTATGAAGGTTATATTGTATTATGTATAACACTCCCTTTATATATATATAGGGTTGTACATGATATTAACTATGTAGTATACTACATATGATTAGAAATCTATATAAGGTAAATACAAGATAAATATATATACATAATAACATTTCATAATATGCCCTCTCAAGTTGAAGGAGGAGAATCCATGTAAAGCTTGGATTGAAAATAAGTGAAGGACACATGAGGAAAAGGCTTGGTAAGCACATCAGCAAGTTGATTTTGGAAGGAGATGAACCAAACCACAATTTTCTTTTCAGCAACATGATCATGAACAAAGTAATAATTGACTTCAACATGCTTAGTACGAGCATGAAAGATAAGATTAACATACAAGTAGGTAGCACCCAAATTATCATACTAAAGGACAGTCATAGGATTAGAGGAAAAATAAAGATCTGATAGCAGAGCCCAAATCTATAAAATCTCAATAGTAAAATTTGCAAAAGCCTTATATTCTGCTTCAGTTAATGAACGAGCCACTGTGCGTTGTTTTCCAGACTTTCAAGAAATAGATGTGCTGCCGAGATATACCAAGTAGCTATCGATGGATTTTTTGTCATCAAGACTACCAGCCTAATCAGCATCTGTAAAACCATGTAAGGAAAGAAAGGACTCCTAAGTGATGTGTAGACCATAAGATGTTATTCCTTGAAGGTTCTAGACAATTCTTTTAACAAGAGACCAATGGCAATTGGTAGACGAGTGCATAAACTGATAGACTTTATTTACGGCATAACAGATATTTGGGCAAGTAAAAATGAGATACTACAAAGCACCAACAATCTATCAGTAATGGGTAGGATCAAAGTATAAAGTATTAAGGTCAGCAATAGCTTAAACAAGGATGAAGCAGGCATGTCGACAGCTTTACACGAAGATATATTGGTTTGTTGAATGATATTGGGAGTATATTTATGCTGTAAGAGCATAAGTCCCATGACAGTTTTGGTGACTTCAATCCCTAAGAAATAATGCATAGAGCCTAAATCTCTTATTTTGAATTCAGAATTTAGTAAGGTAATCAAGTGGCATAGCAGAGTTGAATTGTTCCCAATAAGCAGAATGTCATCCACATACACAAGTAAGTAAATGAGATCATGGCCATTAGAGTAATAAATAGAGAGGTGTCAACAATAAAGGCACGAAAACCAAGAGAAATGAGATAATCACTGAGTTTGGTATACCATACCTGAGGAGCTTGTTTTAAGCCATAGATAGATTTATGCAGGTGACAAACATAAGATAATAGAGCATGGTGACAAAAACCAGGTGGTTGCTCCATATACACCTCTTCTTGAAGAATCCCATTCAAAAAGCATTGTAAACATCAAACTGATGAATAAACCACCCACAAGTCATAACAATAATAAATACTAACCTTACAGTTGCAGGCTTAACAACTGGACTGAAAGTCTTGAGGTAGTTTATTCCTTCTTGTTGAGTGAACCCTTTAGAACCAATGACTGCTAACAACATTCATAAAGGAACAATAAAGAACTAGAGTCCATATACCATTTGATTGCAAAGCCCAAATCTCATCTTGCATAGCTTGTTGCCATGTTGAATTTTGAGAGACGTCTTTGAACGTGAAAGGTTTATTTTCAGGAGAAAAGAACTCATGGTAGTAGGGGATTGAACAGGACACATAATAGTAGAGGATTGAGACAAACTAAGATGCGTCTGTTTGAGTCGGTAAGGATGAAGTGTCATGTGATGGTTGCGAGACGAGTCAGTTGGAAAAGTTGAGGAACTATGAGAAACTTGATGAAGATTAAAATTAGATAAATCAACTACCAGATGCAAGGCAGGAGGAGAGCCGGAGGAAGAACCCGATGTGGGGCTTTAGGTGGCCGAGAGGAAGCCATAATAGGAGAGGAGGCCGCTGATAATGGGATCACCGTACCTGGAAAAACAAAGACCATATTTGGAGCGTGATTAGTAACAGAGTAAAGTAGAGATGACGTAGAGGGATTATTACTCACGAGAGAAGGTGAAGGAGATGAGACAACAACCTTATGTTCAGGTATTGGAGAAGGTGATAGAAATAGGGTAAGTGGAAAAGACATGGGAGTAGGAAAAATAATGAGGACGGGGAGGGCTGTTTGTAGAGATAGAGAAGGCAAGATTGTTGTCTGTTTAGAACATGCTAAAGGAAATGTATTTTCATGAAATTTAACATGTCGTGCAATATACATACGAGATGATGATCAATCAAAATAGCGATAACCCAAACGAGAGGAACTATAGCCAAGAGACACACACGGGGAAGAGCAAAAATTTAGTTTATATCGGTTATAAGGACGAAGTAAAGGAAAACATAAACACCTAAAAATATAAAGAAAACTGTAACCAGGGGAAGATTTAAACAAATGTTTAAAAGGTGTACACCCATTTAGAATAGTAGTAGGCATATGATTTATGAGATAGACAACCATTTCAAAAGCATAACTCTAAAATTTTAACAAAGCCTTACACTAACCAAGAAGCATAAGACCAGTTTCAACAATATGACGACGACGACGCTTAACAATACCATTTTGTTCATGTGTATGGGGACAAATTGGATGATGATGAATGCCAATTGTTTTAAAATATATGTTTAACTTTCTATATTCACCACCATAATCTGTTTGGATGAATTTAATTTTGGTGGTGAATAGCCGTTCAACAAGAGCTTGAAATTGAAGAAAATTTTTAAACACACCATACTTAGCGGCTAAAGGAAAAAATTAGATATACTTAGTATAGGCATCCATAAAAATCACAAAATACCGATAATCATCAGTAGATAACATAGAAGAAGGTCCCCAAACATCACTAAAAACAAGCTCAAGAGGAGTATAAGTTTTATGACCAGTAAGGCCTAACGACAGACATGATGCTTTGCTTAAAGGACAAGATGAACAATTAAAATTAAAAACTCTAGAAATACATGCAACTTTATTATTTGATATTAGAGAACCTAAAATACAAGAACTAGGATGCTCAA